GGAATACTGACTTATTGATAAAACTAGCGGTAAAAACACTGGCTTATAGTTGATGGGTAGTAGCTAGCAGTAGAATCTAGGATGCATATTTCATTCGGTTTGTGACTCATCAGCTGGATGGGCTAATACAAGCAATAAAACTATAACTATACCCGTCACACAAGAAGTGGCTATCATGGCTCGCTGATCTAGTGGATAACACTCCGATGTTTGAAGCGATCGGCCCCAAGTTAGAATCTAGGTCTTAACTAGGACAAAATGCATGCCCTGGATTCCACTGCTAGTCATTATCCATCATTACTATATAATTTAGCGCATGGGCAATGTTGAGGCATCTGTTCAGGAGCCCATATGCAAACTGAGACCGACCAATTCAGTTCAATGAACGACTGGATAATACTAACCACAGAGTGATAGGTAAAATTACTTCAATGGTTTAGGCTATATTAAGTTATTATTTTATAAACATGAAAGTCATATTCTATCTCTACTTTTACTAGTCATGGTAGGTTTTAAATAGTTTGTTATCCAAAAGCCTAAATTGTGAGTCCGCTTGTAAAACCTATCCGATAGCCACTTCTTGTGCGACGGGTATAGTTTTTAGTATAATTGTTTTTATATGATACCGTCGTTGATTGGAGCAGATTGATCTGTTTCTATTTGCATATGGGCTCCTGTGTGGATGCCTTGATATTGCCAGTGTTCTAATTATGTTAATGATGGATCGTGACTAGTAGTGGAATCCAGGATGAGCATCTCGTCCTATTTGGAACTCGTCAGCTGGATGTACCTGCCAATAGAGACTGATCAATTCGGGCCAATCAACGACGGTATCATATAAAAACAATTATACTAAAAACTATACTCATCGCACAAGAAGTGGCTATCGTGGCTCGGTGGTGTAGTGGATAACGCCCTGGCGTTTAAAGCGATCTCTCCCTAGTCCGAATTCTGGGGGGAACAATATCACTCACTGTGAAGCAGGTACATCAAGCTGACTGGTGAGTTCCAAATAGGACGAAATGTGCATCCTGGATTCCACTGCTAGCCACGATTCATCATTAACATAATTAGAACACTGGCAATATCGAGGCATCCACACAGGAGCCCATATGCTAATAGAGACCGATCAGTTCAGTCCAATCAACGACGGTATCACATAAAAACAATTATACTTATGGATACTGTCATTTGTAGTGGATATTTTTATTGCATCAAAACCATTTCATTAATACGAGAGCAAAAATTTCGACACTGTGATAGATTATTCCATCTTAATCTGTTACACAGCAAAAAAGTATTATTTACTGAATAACATTATAGGCGTAATTCACTGTATGCATTCATATCATGTAACTCTACAACTTTGACACATAGTTTATATAGTTCAAATCCTGTTTCTTTCTAATAAAGGTAGTATAGTTTCTTATATATCTGGGACAGGTGCAGAAACACTCCTATTCTATGTATTTGGTGTTGATTCAATAAGCGAAGATTCGATTATCAATCTCTCCGTCCCTCTACTTAAGTTTTTATTACTGTGACTCGATCCCACTTTATTTTGTGATTGTGTATAATCATATGCATAGCCATAGCTGAGCTTTCCTAGGAATTCGTTGTCTTACTAGGACCTAATAATCTTGATTTAACAGAGCTTTTGTGTTCAGATGGCTGAACTAATCCTTTTTGACTATCTTGAGTTATGTATTTGCCTTCTTAACCATTGAAAGAGATGTAGTAAACGGAATTATTTTCTGAATTGGATTTTTGAATCTACAAGGCTTGTTTTTAATCCAGTTTGTCGGTTAAAATACCATCCTAATTCCAACCTTGTTTAGAATTTTCCTAACAGTACTGAAGTGCCTTCTTTGTATGGCAACTCCGCAAAAGCTTAGAATTCCCTGTTCAGTCTGTCACCATTATCACTTCCATGAGCTACTAATACAGCTCATATTCTTCTCATGACTTCTTAAGAATTCAATGCTAGATTTTCGCAGGTAATTATTCAAAAAAACAGGCTATTCTTTATATTCAATTTCTTCTCTTAGATTCCCTGTTCTATTAGTAATTTTTTTGTCCTACTACTCAGTATTTCATCTTTAAGTTGAATCACTTAAGCTCTTGAGAACCTTTCACATTTGTGAAATAGAACACAATGAACACCAAAGACTAGATAGTTTTACTGAATCGAACTGACTGACTTTTTAGGCATGTGTACTTCATTATGGATGCTTTTATAATGCTTGAATATCCATCATTATAGTATTCCTGATAGTGGTTAGCGGCTGATGAGTCATAAATAGAACGAAACGCACGTTCTACATACCATTATTAACGGTCATCAAGCAAATTATCTGTTTGGCATTTTAAATAAAGTTAGAGGGAATATTGAGCTGACCACTTCTGTTTACATCAGACTATACATCTTTACGGGAATTAATTTGGTGATTCATTCGAGTTACCTTTCTTAACACTAACTATAGAATAATAATTGAATATGAATAAACAAAACCACATGGTTCAGTGTATGCTTAAGCATTTCTACACTTCTTTAACGTTTTGTTCTAACATCTGATAGAACAATAAATATACATTTGATGCATAAAAAATTCTGTTAATAGGAAAGAACGAAAAACTATGTATTGTAGCCAAGTTTATCTTTGTTTAGCATGGTGAGTAAGATGTAGTAAGCAATTAATTCGATTTATAACCCATAAGACTATACGTGTTTGTGGCTTATTCGTTAAGTTGTTTTTACTGTTATAATGCGTGTACTTCCTTTCCCAAAGTTACTGTCTTAAAACCAGTTTTCTAAATATTTCAGTTCTTTTGACCAAATTCACTTTTCTGTATCACCAAGTAAACATGATTTAGACTAGGTGGATGATGTTTCACCAGTCGTCAAGTCAAAATAACTTTTCATTTACCTCAGAAATTTCCAATTATTTGATAAGATCTGGAATGTAAAATTCAATTATCTTTTGGTCAAATGTTGTTACTTGCCTATCTGATGAGCTTAGAGTTGCTTCCGTGATGCAGTGATTTGAAGTAAAAGTGAAATCATTATTGTATAATAAATAAAAATGGGATATGTTAAGTTATTTATGTGACTTTTCCTGTTGGAGTTCTTCATACATCGATCACCTTCTCAAAGCTATAAAGATTTAACTTTGGGTTTTTTTGCCAACAGAATGAAACACTTATCAGCAAATAATGTCAACTTTATTTACTAATTTATATATTTTAAACATCCCTACAGATTATTCAGAACAGGAATAATTTGAACGGACTTATTCAGGCTTTAAAGTGATAAATTCATGAGAATAAGTGAAATACATTGTTCAAAATGAAGCGTGATGTACAACTATTACTCTATTGGAAGAGTCAGTGTAGTCATGGATGAATGGAGATCACATAGAATGGAATGGTGAGATGATTAGGGATCGGTAATGCATTCGTCTCACATCTAGTAGATACGGGATATGAGATTAAGGTAGATCACAGGTTTTCTGTGATATATAGTATCCCTTGCAATATGCCTAAAGGAGCACGACTAGATATCTTATCCATAGCTGAAACCATAAGGATCACAGTAAGAAAACTGGACCTATATGTTCCAGGGAAAAAATATGTACATTCACTTCTTCTACCTTGGCCCACAATACGGTCGATATGTTCTTTTTAAACTTCCCAATCCAAAATTAGACATTTTAACATCTCATCCGTTTCTTTTATTTTGTCATTACATTGATAAGCGTCCAATTTCTTTAGTTATCAGTTTCATTCCCTTCTTTATTCATACCACTAACGGTAGTCACTTCCGAATGTGACGTAACACCACGTTTGTTATTCTTTATTTCGTTATAGTATTCGTATAGTTTTCACCCCACTTGAATATAATTCATCGGTACATACATATTCATGCTGCAGTGAATATACATAATACAAGATGGTGATTGTAAATGAAATGGAAATTAGGACCGCGATAGGATTCGAACTAGCAACCAGTGTACATAAATGAACCATTATCTCATTTTGTAATTGTAGTGTCAATAGTGATTTCACTGCACAACTAACACACTGGACTGATAGCCATTCCAGCATTTCATTCAATGTGATCTCCATTCATCCATGACTACACTGACTCTTCCAACAGAGTAATAATTGTACATCATGCTTCATTTTAGGTATTATATTTCACTAATTCTCATAGATTTATAACTATAGGGCCTGAATAAGACATTATGGAGAATAACTGAACTTGAAAATGCTGAATTATGCTAGATGAGTAGAAATGAATTGAATACATCAGTGTTCCAAGTGAAGAGATAAGATTTGATCGTCCAAATGACTTTCAATGGAATGTTAGTGAATTAACTTCTTGACTTTACGCTTGTATATCACAGAAATTAGTCGACCTTTTAATAATGAGGCTAAAGAGACCAATTATCTATGTTAACTTTTACATAACAGTGTAGTGCATGAGTTTATATTTACTTCATGAGTTATTATTCACAGATACTTGTAATTCCTGATTGAATTGGCCGATCTGTGTTGACATTTTGATGTCTATGCGTATGCTTTGATAGTGGACGATTATTATGTTATAATCTGCTTAGTGATGGCTCGAAGTGGAATCTAGGAGGCAAATTTCATCTTGTTTAGGACTTCTCAGATGAATCAATATGAACCACACTCCTAGGTAGGAAGAAACACGCTTTTTGGATTCCACTTTTAACCCCCACCCAATAAATCATAAAATGACTCGCCTACTTTAGTTGTACAAAGAAGCTCTTTTCTAGTTTCTTTTACCTTCACATTTTCTCCGGTAACATTTACAAAAATTTTTTTGTTTGAATTTAGTTTTTACCTTTATATCCATGTATAAAGAAATAAACTAACGTTTCCTATTTCTTCTCTAAATACAATTCGCCAGATTCAAGTGATTTTGGACAATTTTCAAGTCAGATAATTACGAAACTAATCCGTATAACGGTTCAATGATTTTACGTAAAACTTCTACAAATGTAACATTTAAACACAATGAATCAAATCGAAGTCGGCCTGATGAATATTTACTTGATAATAATAATAATAACAGTAACAATAATAATAATAACAATACTCTAATCATTAACACCAACAACCACACCAGTAATTATACAAACAATAAAGAAAGTGAAAGTAATCCAATACGCTTCAGTGAAAATAAATCAACAAAGTCTAATGTGTTAATTCATAGTAATGTGAAATTATTACCTCCGGATTCTGTTTCAGAGCATCAACAAATTATAAATTTCAATGAAGCAGAATTAGCTTACGGTAGGTGGAAATTTCTTTGATTTTGTTCTATTCTCTAAGTAAAAATTAATCATGCATACCTTTATAACATTATTAGTATTATTTGTCTTATAATCAGCATTTGTCAAGCAATTTCGCAACTGCTTCAACACTACGGAATACCACAAACATATGTCAACCACATTCAACAATCATATGAAGACGCCACATGCCAAGCAAGTAATTCACAATGGAAAGCTCAGTGATGCTTTTGAAGTGAAGACAGGAGATAGGAGACAGGAGTGAAACAAGGCTGCCTAATATCACCCATCATATTCCTGATTGTGGTAGACTCGACTACACCATGCAACAAACAGTGGGGAGCGAGAAGACGGGGAGACGCTGGCTGGACAGTGGAAAAGAACCCAGAAGACTTGGATATCGCCAGTGATGACTTGTGTCTGATGTCTTGTCACACAAACTTGAAGATATACAGGCGAAAACTAACAAGTTGACAGAAGAGGCAGGGAGAGGCAGCCAAGATCGGACTTCAAGTGAACGTAGAGAAGACAGAGATGATGAAGATACCCAACCAACACAACCACCAATAACAACAAGCTCCAATCACCATGAATGGGAGGAAGTTAAAGGAAGTGGCCTCTTTCACCCACCACCTAGGCACCTAGGTACCTAGGCACCTGGGCACTGTTTCAACTACAGGCAGCGGCACAGGCACAGATGAGGATGTCAAAGCAGCCACGATCGGAAATGCAGCAAGACAGGTGTTCATCAACGTGAAACCAGTGTGGAGATCCTCTACACTCAGCTCTGCACAAAGCATGAAACAACATCCGAATTTTCAACACCAACGTCAAATCAGTGCTTCTCTGTGATGGTTGAGAGACTTGGCGGCACGTTACGAAAGCGATTTCCAACAAACTACAGACATTCATCAACAACTGTGACCTACACTGGCTCCTTACTGAAGCTCAGATGGCCAGAATGGTGTGAATAAGCAACAGTGAACTCTGGAGGGGAACCAATGAAGAAGCTATCGGTCAACAAGTATGCAGAATGAGGAAGTGGAGATGGATTGAATTGTGCACACATTGAGAAGGCCGACTGGCGATGCGTCAGGCCATGGTGTCGAGTGGAACCCAGATGGGAAACGACGAGTTGGACGTCTGAGTCGAGAGTGACATGGAGGAGATCATGCGAGGAGGAAATGAGAGTTTTTGGGCTGTGGTGGAGCCAGGTTGAAAATACTGAAGAGAATAGATTGAAACGGAGACATGTGACTGAATTCCTATATTCCATTAGGAACCCAAGGGACAAATACTAAAGATGAGATATATGACATCTGGTTAAGTAGATTAAACTCTGCAGAAAAAGTCTACACATAGTATTGAATACTATCAAATCACAGTTGGGAAATGAATAAATGTAAGATTGACTTCGATGCTTCAAATTGCATGAAAAAAAACGTTCAGCCAACCACTATGTCTCAAACTGCTGACATATACTTCAGAATCCCACTCAATAATTAAATTCAAACTCACTTTGGAGGTTTGTAGAGAATTACTCTTTGATTTCATGCCACAATTCATCCCCAACCGACATCAGTTGGTGAAGCATAAGAAACTTGAGTGCACTGGTTAACTGTTTCCTCCTAGTATGGGACTTCCCAACATTGTGTAACCATGGCCCCTCCCCCCGAGGACCTAACCGACGACTTTCAGGTTCCATGGCTGGCATATTATCGTTCAATCACTTGGTAAGAATCCAGTGGTCCATATTTTCAACTTCTGACAGTTCGTGATATAGCCCGATCTCCATCCAGTGCCGTCGTTGTGTAACTGTTTGCATGTCCGACTTGATTAGCACCATCGGTCACGACTTCTGGTTGGAACTTTGAGAATCACCTATCAGAGATAGCCAACAATGAGCGCTAGAATTATTCAATTTGTAAGTTTGTAGGGATTAATTTATTGATTTCCAGTTGGCTGCTGAATCTGAAGTTCATGGGTGTGATCCCTGTTGGGGTCATGGATGCTCACTGCTGAGGAGTCTCATACTGAAGCACAACAGCTGTCTAGTGCTCCTAGGTCTTCAATGCTTCTCCATCTGATGTCAGTCCATGACGGATACCAACCTACAATTAAATTTTAAGTTGGGATCAGGCATCATAAAGTTGGAAGATATACCAGCCATAGCGAGATCGTTTACAGCTGAAATATTCATCACCATATCGTTAAGATAACTTATTCTGACTACTTTTTAAACGCCCAACAGACTATACACGCGTTTCGTCCTATTAAGGACTAGTTAGCAGGATATACTTATCTCTCAATGAGTGTTGTTCTTACCGGGACTCGAAATGGGGACCGATCGCTTCAAATGCCAGAGCGTTATCCAGTAGACCAGCGAGCCACGATAACCACTTCCTATGCGAGGGGTATAGTTTTAGTGTTACTGCTTGTATTATCCCATCGTTGATTTGATTGAATTGATCAGTCTCTATTAGTATATTAGCTCCTGTGAGGATGCCTAGATATTGCTTGTTTTAATCACATATATTATTGATGGATGCAGGATAAAGTTTATGGAAAACTTCTATAGTCTCTCTAGTCAACAGATTATCAACCAAGTATGCATCGCCATAAATATTTAATGACTATTTAGAAAACAGAACAGTTTTTAACACTTTATTGTAGGTAACAAATACTAATAACAAAACGATATAATAACTAGTACTTCTCGGCTCATGATTCAGTCAATGTGTGTTTTTATAGTGATTAGGTATGGTGATAGAAGCTCATTCAGCCAGCTTGAAGATCTATAGTCCTAGCTTAATAACCCGGTAAAAGGTTTATGACGTTATGTTGTGCACTGAGAGGCATACTGTCATCTAGTGCGATGTTTTCCTGTAATTTCAATGGCAACTTGGAAAATGATAGGTTGAAAACGGTTTTCGAGTGTATTCGAAGATACACTATGATTTTTTGATAGTTGAAAGATTCAAATAACTTCATCAGGAGCAATTTGGTATATTACATCCGGGAAAATATGTTTGGAAGTCCAAAATTTAAGCAGGTCACCAATCATTAACTGATCAAAATTTCTTCGTGGTGTATTTTACTTCAGTGTCTTGTAAGAATAATCTGTGTACTTGTAGACGTATAACTGTTTTGACACCAACCTTCAATGAAATTGCCTAATTCTTATAAACAGAATGATTCTAGAAATGTTCTTATGCATAATTTTTTGAACATCCGTATATGAACTTCGATATTCTTGTTTATTTGAAAAACATTTTACTACAGAACAACATAAAAGAATGACAGCCAAACAAAAATTGTCACGTTCAAACCAAAAAGGTCCATCATTTCTCATTGAAGAAGATCAACAATCATATATGGCAAATTATGATTATGAAGGTGAACCGAAATCATCCAGTTCTACTCATGAAATCAAATCTGACAAACCATTTATTGGACATAGTCAAAAACCATTCTCTTCAGGTATTTTAGTTATACATATAACAAACTTATAATATATACTATTTACTTTTATTATGTGTACTCATTACTGACAGATAGATGAAAAGGCAATCGTTGAAATATTTACTGCTAAATGCATAATCCTTTCTGATGAAATGCATTTTACTTCTACCACAAGAAAAACTTCAAAAGTTAACATAGAACACTGAAATCAGATAGGTTGTGAATTTTGTAACAGAACTGTTATATAGAGCCTAAATACATATTCTTATTGAATAGGTTTAATAAGAGTGAAAGAGAATGTCCATATATCAAGTTATGATTGTATGTACACAGGTATTGAGAAACTTTTCATCCAGTATCGAAATATGAAGAAACAGTAAACAGTTCTGTGTAGATGTGGCAAATAATTTACAAACGAATGGTTAGTTATTATTTATTTGTCCCTTGGGTTTCTAATGGAACATAGGAATTCAGTCACATGTCGCCGTTTCAATCTATTCTCTTCATTATTTTCAACCTGGCTCCACTACAGCCTACAAACTCTCATTTCCTCCTCGCATGATCTCCTCCATGTCACTCTCGACTCAGGGGCCCAACTCGTCATTGGCGAGATCCAAGTCTTCTAGGTTCTTTTCCACTGTCCAGCCAGCGTCTCCCCGTCTTCTCGCTCCCCACTGTTTGTTGCATGGTGTAGTCGAGTCGACCACAATCAGGAATATGATGGGTGATATTAGGCAGCCTTGTTTCACTCCTGTCTCCTATCTCCTGTCTTCACTTCAAAAGCATCACTGAGCTTTCCATTGTGAATTACTTGCTTGGCATGTGGCATCATCATATAATTGTTGAGTGTGGTTGATATATGTTTGTGGTATTCCATAGTGTTGAAACAACTGCCTGCCAAATTACTTCTCGGTCAACGTTGTCGAATGCCTTCTCAAAGTTAATGAAGTCGAGGTTGTGTTCACTGCCATTCCATGCTCCATTCTATGATGATGTATAGCGTGGCGTTGCAATTTGGTCGGCACATGATTTATACTTCCTGAATTCAGCCTGCCTGTCACGGTCATATTTTTGAATTCAGTGCATCCTTTCGTCTCTCCAAGATGATGCGGCCTAATATTTTGCTTACTTTGGGTAGACAAGAGCGTGATTCGAAACACTGAGATCTCCTTTCTTCAAGAGTTTGACAAGTTAGCCCTTCTTTCAATCGCCATAATTAATTTTTACCTTCGGAAGGAAGGAAAGGCACAAAGGAATGATGACTTATTATTATTATTATTAAGTGTTGTCATACACCTTCAACTAAATGATACTATCATATGTATGTAACTCTTAATAATATAGAGCACGGATGTAGTTCAGTATTCTTGGGGTATAAAAATATAACTGAATATTGTTCCCAATGGAACTGCGACTTAACTAAGAATCATAATAATCAAAAGTTTATCTTTTCTAACATTTGTTGGCAATGACAGACTTATGAAAGGGTATATCAATGTTCTCACTTACTTCAGTAATAAATTATAAACTTATTTTTATTATTGTATAATATTATTTTCAATACTTCAATGATATGTATCATTATTCATTTTGTATTGAATTTCTTTCTTACTTTACCCAAATCACAGCTTTTCGTAGTTCAAATGAGAAAATGCAAACATTCAATCGAATGACAATGATGTCAATGGAAGAAAATGATAATGATGAGATTGACAATAATGTTGATATAATTCATAAAGGACAAATAATATATCATAATTCAAATTATTCACGATCAGATAATTTAAACTCATCATTTTCACAAAAATATCTTCATGGTATTAGTTCACCTAGTAATAGACAATATAATTACGATGATACACCACAGACAATTCCACAAGTTATGAACTCAGATGTTAGAGTGAGAAAAAGTGAGTTGAATATCTTTTTCTTACTTAGTTTTCATTGAATCAAATCTAAAAGAGTACCTATATTATACAGGAAAACATATTACGTAATATATATATGAGTGTCAGGTCCACTTAATGGTATCAGTTTGATTATTATAAAAGTCTTTAATAAAGCTAAGAACATATGCATTTTAGTGTAATACTTTGAAGTGAGTTAGAATATCTAAACTGAGGATATATTGTAAAACTGAATTTAAGGGTTTGTTTGGGATTTAGTGATTTTTCAAGTTGGGCTGACATCAGTTGGAGGAACATTGGAAACCATGCAGCACTGAACAGCTGGTTCATCCTGATATGGAACTCCCCAGTTGTGCACACTCTGAATGTTCAAGTTTCATGGGTAGCACGTTACCATTGAGCTTCAGTGGTCTATATCTCCAAATTCTGTCAGTTTACTACATAGTGCAACCATAATCCGGTGTCATCACTGAGTGTTTGTTGTCACGCCCTCCGGGTTCTCCCCAGGAGTCAGGACTTCTCATTGGAACTTCAGGAATCACCTCTCAAAGCTAATCACCATCAAACATTAGATCAACTTAATTTGAGGCTTTCTGGAGTCACGAGTGCACACTACTGAGGAGTCTCATACTAGAAAGAAACAGGTATCTAGTGCTCCCAGATTTCCAATATTTCACCAACTGATGTCAACCCACGATGAATACTAATGTAAAAAATCACTAAATCTTCACAGAATCCAAACTAAATCTAGTGTTCATTGGTGACTAGCTTTGAGTGGTTATTCCTGAAGTTCCAATGAGAAGTAGTGACTAGTGAGGAAAACATGGTGGCCATGACGACAAATACTCAACTATGACACCTAGTTATGGTCGTGCCATGTCGTGAACTGAAAGAAGTTGGAAATATGAACCACCGAATTCTGCCTCAATGGTAACATGCTGTTCATCGAACCTTGTGGTCCTGGGTTCGATATCTGGAGGGTAGGATCATGTTTGAAATTGTGTGTTTTTATTATTTGTTGATACACTAGTAATTCTCCGTTGTTTTATTGGACCGAATTGTTCTACCTCCATTGACATATGGGCTCTTTTGTGGATGCCTTTATATTACTCATGTTTTAATTCTCTATAATAATCATGGTGAGAACAACATCACTCACTGGAGTGCAGGTAGATCCAGCTGACGAGTCCCAAATAAGACGAAACGATCGCCACAACCAACCAAACACCCATAAATGCGTTTTTGTTATTTATCTTTGTACATCAAAAGTTTTGCAGATATACTTCATAAAGAAATACACTTTAGATAGTAATGATGGATAATGGCTAGCAGTGGAATCCAGGATGCGCATTTAGTCCTATTTGGGACTCGTCAGCTTGGAAGCAGTTACATCCAGCTGACTGGTGAGTCCTAAATAGGACGAAATGAGCATCTTGGATTCCCCTACTACCTACTATCCATCAATACTATCATAAGAGCACAAGTAATATCGAACCATCCGCAAAGAATACCATATGCCAATAGAGACCGATCAATTCGATCCAATCAACAATGGTATGATGAAGATGCCGTTTTGCTCTCAGAAGTCCAAGCTTTTATTTAAAATATCAAAGAACATAGACTTAAAGCAGTTACACTCATATAGTTGTGATAGGTTTTCATCATACTAGCTTGCTTATAGAATGATTTATTCTCTCTGAAATATGTTTTAAAGTGTTTACATCTCAAAAATCTTAAGCTATCTTTGTTTATTGTAGCCTAAATGAAACAATTTGAAGAGTTGAATCAAATTCTTAATCCTTTTAGAGACAATATTGATAGACTTTTGGAGTGTCCAGAGATTATTAGTGTAGTCTATTCGCTTTGTCAGTGTATCATGAACATAAGAGCAATAGGCCTTGGGAAATGGTAAGGCAATGAGTGTTTAAAGGATAGCATTCATCACCGGTAAAATTGCGAGAAAATAAGGAATTGCAGCAACCATTCACTTATTGAATAAAGATACTGAACTTGTAGCTTTACGTTTGTGAAATAGCTTGTTTATTTTAAGCTGTTTAATCATAGAACGTTGCTTACAATCATTATACGGAGATTTTTGTTAAGATTAAAGAAAGCTAGTAACAAAAATGTCTAGAGATATTGTTGAGTCCAGTTCTAAAATCTAAGAACTCTATTTAAAAGGCTTACAAAGTGGTCTCCCTATTCGCCTTCGTCTACATGAACACTAATCGGTTATTAAACGCCACACACGACATTTCATCACTCATTTAAATGCATGTGGATAACAACTATGGACATGAATTCAATTTTGACAATGTAGAAATTATGAACAGAGAGAGGAAACACAAAGAATGTCAAGGAATTCTTAGAAGCTTGGCATGCAGGTCAGTTAGTCAGTCAGCAATCAAGAGATGTATGGACATAGATCCAATCCGCCAAACAATAAGAAAGATGATAAACAATAGAAAGGTCAGAGTTCAGGTCAAGCAGATGAACAGCCAACAGAAAAATCTATACAGTCAATGAGACCATAATCAAAGGAAACAACCAATCACAGACCACTTTGTCAAGGCAAGCTACTGAATCACTGACAGAGAGATATTGACAGTTCACTTCATACTGAAGTTAATGCTGTGGATGATGTCACTGTCTAGAAGGACGATGAAAGCTCCAGGGTTAAACAACGCATCTCAGAGAACACAATACAACCGTGGCCATCCACTTGAGCTAAAAATATTCTCCATTATTTCGCTTACAGATATAACTTTACTGACTTATATAAAACATTCATTATGATGAAGACATGGACTTTTATGCAACTAATAATGATCATTTTATGACTGGAGATCAGATGAAAAACATATGATGATGCAACTTCACACCACAAAAAGCGAAATTGGATCAAAATTAAGAAGCAGTAAAAATAAACAGATAAATCAGACAATGGTCTGTACTTACAGGCATGCTGATTAAATGCGAAATAATACCAAGATTCTGGCAGTTTTTTAAATAATTGCCTTCAGGGTGCCAACCTACACACTAACCAACTATATTGTCAGGTTCCAAAAAATGAATAAAAAATTATGAAGAAATCCTTAATACAATAGGTACTTTAAGTTTTTCTAGGAATAAGTGTGTGCTGAAAATTTATAATGGTTACTTTAGTGCTGAAAAAGTTATCTACCATGAATGCTGAATTTATTCGTCAGCATGCCTATACCTCCATGCATTCAAGAGAAAGGCTTTTGAACTGTAAACTAAAGAAATAATTTACATCTTAGATAAAATAGAAAAGTAAGTAAGCCAAAATTTAAGTTATAATAAAAGCACAAACCTAATATGAATGAAACTGTTATGTTATCGCTTTCGTTGAATAAAATATAACTGATTGTATCAAGGGAAAACAAAACATTTTAATCGCTCTTTTTTTCACTAAAATCTGTTTTGTTTTGGTGTTATTACTTGTATTATCCAGTCGTTCATTGAACTGAATTGATCGGTTTTCCTTTTGGCATATGAGCTCCTGCGTGGATGCCTGGATATTGCCTATGTGCTTAATTACATAGTAATGATGGATAGTGACTAGCAGTGGAAGCCAGGACACGCGTTTCATCCTATTTGGAACTCGTCAGCTGGATGTACCTACCTCTCAGTTAGTGATGTTGTTCTCACCAAGATTCGAACTCGGGGCCGATCACTCCAAACGTTGGGGCATTATCCACTAGACCAGCGAGCAACGATAGTGATTTCTCGTATGACGGGTATAATTTCAGAATTATTTCTTGTATTATAGCATCGTTGATTGGATCAAACTGATCGGTCTCCATTGGTCCCGAGTTCGAGTCCTGGTGGGAACAACATCACTTCTTGGGAGGAAGGTACACCTAGCTGACGAGCCCCGAATAGAACGAAACATGCGTCTTATATAGGTTATAGAGTGAAAGTGAATGCCAGTAGTCATCCAGTGTATTAGAAAACCCTTGAAAATTGAGATCGTACACTTGTTGAATTTCACCTTGCTCCCTTTACACTTTGGGTACATCATTTGACTCAATCCATCTATGTCATTTAGTGTAATCTATCCAGTTGGTAATCGCCACGAAATTACATAAGTTAGAGAAGTATTGGAAGTGTGGTGGAAGTGGACAGTTGTTTTGTCTAAGTGATGAACCCCTCATCAATGCTCATTCATGACCCCCACCCTAATGGATGTAACTCAGCAACTTCAGTTTTTGTGCCCAGTTTGCCATAGTAGTATGTAACAAATGAACATGGCGTGCAGGTTTACGGTGGTTCCTGCGTGTTGTTCCACCCGTACTTCGTCGCCACTATTCCTTTTCTCTTGTTAATAACTGCACCCACTTCACTAGAAAAATTAGCACCTAAGATTGTTCGTTGTAGAGGCGTAGTGACAATCAATGCAAGTCTAATTTTTCGACTTCCCATCTCGACGACACAATCTGTTAAGCCTGCAATTTGTAATGTATATCCACCAACTGTGTCTACCGTTATCGCAAATGGTCTTATGTTCTGAGACTGACTCTTATTTATCAGCGAGACTGCCGTCCCCATTTCACTTTCATTTTGTGTTCCTTCATAAACCTCTTAGATAAATGTAATGGTATCTGATAGGTTCATTAGGATTGACGAAATAGACTCATGATACTCACTTGAATCTAGTCAAGAATAGGCACTGAATATGAAATAATTTAAGGCATAAGGGATATTCCTTTATCGTAAGTATAAACCAGAAAAAAGATCACAGATTGCTTGTTTCACCGCGAATTTTTCTACTCCACTTCATTCATGACCACATTCAATGTTAATAATGAAATTTTTTTACACCAGATATGTTTTTATTAGTAGATATCTAGTATTATTTCAGTAAGGATCTTGGTGACACTCATGATTACCAAAGTTATTTACCTTCAGCAAATACAATCGCCATGTTTTCATGTATATATTATATCATGTCATATTCAGGTTTCTCTGTAGCTTTGTTG